GTCTTTAAATTCAGGTAGGATATCATCAGTGTGATATATTGGTTTTCATATACTCATCATGAACTTGCATTTGTACAATTGGTTGTTGTTGTTGTTGTTATGTGTCGTTGAGTCGTTTGCGACTCATAGCGATCCTATGCACAACAGCTCTAAACCCTGCTCTATCCTGTGCCAATCACATTGCCTCTGACACACCGATTACCCCAGTCACTGAATCAATCCACCTCATGGAGGGTCTTCCCCTCCTGCGCTGTCCCTCTACCCTACCAAGCATATATCCCTCTCCAAGGACCTGTCTCTCCTTACAACATGTCCAAAGTATGTCAGACGAAGCCCCAGAATCCTTGCCTCCAAGGAGTAGCCTGGTTTAGCCCTCTCTAGGATGGACCTGTTTGTTTCCTTGGCAGTCCATGAAACATTCAATACTCTTCTCCAGCACCACAGCTCAAAGGCGTCAATTCTCCTTCTATCCTCCCTAGTCATTGTCCAACTCTCTGATGCATAACAAGTGATTGCAAAGACCATGGCCTGTATCAGGCGCACCTTAGTCTCCAGAGAGACACCGTTGCTCTTGAGTACTTTAGAGAGGTCCCTAACAGCAGACTTTCCCATCGCAATACGTTTTTTGATTTCCTGGCTGCTGGTACCACGAGTGTTGATGGTGGAGCCGAGCAAACTGAAGCTGTGAACAATCTCAATCTCTTCACCATCCATCCTGATGCTGCCGATTGGTCCAGTGGTGAGAATCTTTGTCTTCTTGACATTGAGCCTCAGTCCATATTGAAGGCTGCAGTCCTTGACCCTCTGCAGCAAGTGCATGAGGTCCTCCTCAGTTTCAGTGAGCAGGATTGTGTCATTTGCGTAGAGCAGATTGCTTTAGATACAAGCTTTCAGGTCATGGGTCGTGCAATTGGTAGTATATTTCAAAGTCAAGTTCCCAGCCTTGTTTGACTGATGATACTAAGCTTTCTATCTTCTCTTTCCAAAACATAGCTTGTTTGATTCACATATATCTCATCAGGTGAGGCCCACCTGTATAATCACAAGTTATGTTTTCTGAAATGGTATTTGCCATAACAATGTTACTGGTCAGACAAAATTCTGTCATGTGGGCACCAACCTTATATCCATTACGAAAGACCTATTTCTCAATTTCCAATAGTTCTTCTTTGCTTTTTTTTGTCTGTTTACCAGATATTATTCACACATCTTGATTGAAAGTTGGATCAAATTTGGATTACAGAACTTACTAGAAATTCCCAATTCTTTCCTCTTTGATTTTAGTGGTGGGTGGATACATTTTTAAAAAATAGGTCCTTATACCTTTTATAAGAAACACAAATGTAGGCTGTACACATGAATTTCACCTGATGGTAAACATCAGAATCACATCGATAACATATGTGAAAATATTGCTGGAAAAGTTCAATATCAGCTGTGAAAACCAGGCTGGGTGCTGATTGTGGGACAGACCAACAACTACTCATATGCAAGTTCAAGTTGAAAAAAATAAAATAAAATCTACAAGAACCAGAATTTGACCTTAAATCTATCCCACTTGAATTTCAAAACAATCTCAGAAACAGATTCTAGGCCTTGAAAACAAATCAGCATAGACCAAATGAGCTGTGGGAGAATATCAAGAATGTCATCCATGAAGAATGCAAAAGATCATTATAAAGGTTGAAGAGGAAAAAAGATCAAGACAGATGTCAGATGAAACTCTGAATATTGCATTAGAGCACTGAGAAACCAAAGCTAAAGAAAGAAATCAAGAAATTAAAGAGCTGAACAGAAAATTTCAAAGGGCAGCTCGGGATGACAAAGCAAGATGCTACAGTGAAATGTCCAATGAGCTGGAGTCAGAAAATCAGAAGGGCCGAACTCGCTCAGAATTTCTTGAGCTGAAGGAATTGAAAAGCAAATTCAAGCCACAAATGGTAATACTTAATGATGCTTTAGGCAGAGTGTTAAATGATCCAAGAAGCATTAAAAGAAAATTGAAGGAATATACAGAGAAGGAATTGGCTGACACAGAAGAATTTCATGAAATATGTGAGCATAAGCCTTTGGTATTGAAGGAGGAAGTTCAAGTTGCTCTGAAAGAATTGGCAAAAAGCAAGTCTCCAGGAGTTGATGGCATACCAATTGGCATATTTCAACAAATAGATGCTGCCCTGAGTGTGCTCACTAAGTTGTGCCAAGAAATCTGGAGGACAGCCAGCTGGCCAACTGACTGGAAGATATCAATATTTGCTCCCATTCCAAAGAAAAGTGACCCAACAGGGTACAGAAATTATCGAACAATATCATTATTATCACATGCAAGCAAGATTCTGCTGAAAATTATCCAAAAATGAGTGGAGAAACACATCAGCAGAGAACTGTCAGATGTGAAGTCTGGGTTTGGAAGCGGCTGTGGTACTAGGGATATTACAGCTAATGTTAGATGGATCTTGGCAGAAAGCAAAGAGTACCAGAGGAATGTCTATCTGTGTTTCATCATGCAAAGGCTTTTGACTGTGTGGATCACAACAAGCTGTGTCTAACTCTGAGAAGAATAGGAATCCCAGAAGATTTTATTGTGCTTATGTGAAACCTATACTTGAACCAAGAGGCAATTGCCAGAACAGAACTAGGAGACACTCACTGCATGGTTCAAAATAGGGAAGAGTGTCTGCCAGGGATGTATTCTGTCTCCATACCTTTTCAATCTGTATGACTACGGATGATAGAAAGAGAATTGATGCCTTTGATCTGTGGTGCTGGAGAAGTGTTAAATATATTATGGATTGCTAGAAGAACAAACAGGTTTATCCTGGAGAGGGTGAAACTGGGCTGCTTCTTGGAGGCAAGGATTCTGATGGTCCACCTAGCATACTTTGGGCATGTTGCAATGAGAGACCAGTCCTTGGAGAGGGATATCATGTTTGGGAAAGTGGAGGGACAGTGCAGGAAAGAAAGACCCTTGATGAGATGAATCAATTCAGTGATTTAGGTAATAAGAGTAGATGTGTTAGAGACAGTGAGGTTGGCACAGGATAAAGCAGGGTTTAGGGCTCTTGTACATAAGGTTGTTATGAGTCGTCGGTGACTCAGTGGCACATAACAACAACACAACAACATAGGTATATGAGTGTTTTCCTGAATCTGATACCACTGTACTTCAGAATAGATCTTAAAATGGTTTTTGTTTTGTTTTGGCACTGAATACTACACTATACCTCTTTAATTTGTAAGGGCAATTCTAGGTCAAGTGATTGGTATTCTAACATGAACTTCCAGAAGAAAGAGTCATGCCAGAATACTTAGTCAATTTCTAGATTTCAGGCTGTTTTTATATCTACAATCTTCTGAATGAAGGAGAGACTGAGTTCTTTGAGGAACGACCTCACTACAGATTTATACAGATAATCTTCCATGAAAGGCTCTATGGCCTTTTAGGAGGAGAAGAAAGAAGTAATCTGGCTTTTAGGTAACTATTGAACACTGGCTCTGAATTGACATTAATATTGAGAGACTCAAAATGTCACTAGGGTTCACAAGTCAGAGTTACTAATGGAATCATCGCTTAGGTCTGTCCCATAGTGGGCCCAGTTGGCATATGAGCCTATCCTCTAGTGATTTCTCCAGTTCTAGCATGAGTGATTGTAATAGACATACTCAGCTCTGGAAGAACTCCCACATTGGATGCCTGGCATGTGTAGGAAGGTCTATTATGGTAGAAAAGCCATTAGAACTCCCTCTATATAGGACATAGTAAAACAAAAGCAGTAACACAGTCCTAAAGAACAGCAGAGATTAGTGTCATCAAGGGATTAAAAGATGTAGGAGTAGTGATTCCTACAATATCTCCATTTGGAGAGGGACATGATGCTGAGATGGGTAGAGTGTTGGCGAAGGAGAGAAAGACCCTCAATCAGGTGAATGAATTGACATGGCGACTGCTGAAATGGGTTCCTGTGTGTCAGGAAGCATGAGGATGACATAGGACAGGACAGGGTTCAGATCTTTTGTTCATAGGGTTGCTATGAGTAGTACTTGACTCAACAGCATCTAACAAGAACATCTGGTATGTGCAAAAAGCCAGGTGGATCTTGGGGAATGGTAATCGATTATTTTAAACTTAATTGGTAGTGACTTCAATTGCAGCTGTTGCTCCAGTTGTGGTTTTATTGCTTAAGTAAATTAATACATCTCCTAGTACTTGCTATGTGGTTGTTGATCTGGTCAATGCCTTTTCAAAGAGTCATCAGAAGCAGTCTGTCTCCACTTGGCAAAACCAGCAGTATACCTGCACTTCTCTACCTCAAGGTATATCAACTCTCTAGCATTATGTCATTATTTAGTCCACAGTGACCTTGATCATCCTCCCCATTTATGAGATGTCACACAGCCCATCACAGTCATGACTCTATGCTGACTGGACCTAATGCGTGACTCTATATGTATTTGTGTTTTCAAGTAGACATTGTGTGTTCAATTTACTGCCATCAGATTAATTCTGTCTCATAACTTCCCTCATAGTATTTCCAAGGCTATGAATTAAAATGAGAAGATATTTCCCCTATTTCTCCCACAAAGAGTCTGTGAGAGAAATACATTAACCCTTTTGGACATACAATATATGTCAGGTGCTGTACTGAGTATTTTAATGGATATTATCATTTAAACCTCACAGCACCCGGTAATGAAGATACTATCATCAGTTGCATTATACAGATGAGAAAATCAGGCTTGGATTATTTTGCTCTTCACTACTATGTTGTTTTTGTTGTTGTTATTGTTGCTGTAAGCCATCAAGTTGGAACTGATTCATAACTGTCTCACCAGTGAGTTTTCAGAGGCTTTAAATTGCTAAGAAGGAGATTGCCCATCTTTCTAGTGTGACACAATTGCTGTATTCAAACCATATGGATTCTATATTTGAAAGTCCCATAATTGTGTATTGTTCTAGAGGTCAATAAAATTCTTAGATTCTCTGCAGAATAGAAGCTTACCCAAGAGGTGGCTTCAAACATTTTGAGGTCCAGTGGGTCTCCCTGGATGGTCCCATCTAGAAGGACCAGAGAGTGGCAGCTGGCCATGGCCGCACACAGTGGGCCCCATGGCAAAGCCTTGCCCAAGGCGAAGCTGTGGATTTCTTGAAAGCTAAAGAAGAAAAGGGAAATGCTTCAGTCTTATGAGCTCATGCAGAAAAAGAAATTTTTTGGCGGTGACTGCCTTTCTGGGAAAAAAAACCTGTCAGCTTTGTTGCATTAAAGACTTACTTTCTAATCCTCCAAATTAATAATATTTTACTCAACCATTTTCCTTAGGCATGTTTAACAAAAATGAGAAATTTCCTTAAAGTTACTGACACCCTTTATTCCCTCTTTTCTTTCTTCTCTGGCACTGATTTACTTTATATGTATGGCACTGTCACCCTAATGACTAGATTGCTTCATTTAGAGCCCCAGAAAACAGAACAGGCTAGTTAGTGTATACTTCATTTACTTGTAAGTATGTGCATCTCTCTCTATCCATCCTTATTAAACAATAGAGATTCTGTTCTGTATCGCTGAGTCCATTATATTTGATGTTTGGCCCACAGAAAGACACTCAAAAAACTTATGAGTAAATGAATGAACTAGTTTGCTAGTGGAAATCTGCAAACTTTAATGTTAAAGAAGTAAACATTTTTCAAATTGACCTTCAATTCTCATCTCTTACACCTGACATCTTTTTAAAAATATAAACGAGCAAATTAAACAAGCAGAGATTGGGGAAGACAGATGCCATGTGTACGAATAGAAGTTGAAAAGTGACAAGAAGCTTCTACAGTTTCTAGAGACAGAATGCAGGCTTAATGTCTCCCAAATTGTGAGAAAATAAATCTCTCTTTACTCAAGTCACCTGCTTGTGGTGTTTTTATAACAGAAGTGTTAGATAACCAAGATAGCAGCCTTTCTAAAATTAACTGAGATACAACTCAAACCTCCTTTGCAATTTCCATAGTTAGTTGCTGCTCAAAAAGTAACCCATTGTATTTGGAAGACCTCCAAGTGACAGATTATTTCATATACTATGGCAAAATCATCATCCATCCTGATGCTGCCAATTGGTCCAGTGGTGAGAATCTTTGTCTTCTTGACATTGAACCTCAATCCATATTGAAGGCTGCAGTCTTTGACCCTCTGCAGCAAGTGCTCCATGGATGGTGAAGAAATTGAGATTGTTCACAGCTTTAGTTTGCTTGGCTCCACAATCAACAGTCTTGGCACCAGCAGCCAGGAAATTAAAAGACGCATTGCGATGGGAAAGTCTGCTGTTAGAGACCTCTCTAAAGTACTGAAGAGCAATGATGTCTCTCTGGAGACTAAGGTGCGTCTGATACAGGCCATGGTCTTTGCAATCACTTGTTATGCATCAGAGAGTTTGGACAATGACTAGGGAGGATAGAAAGGAAATTGATGCCTTTGATCTTTGGTTTTAGAGAAGAGTATTGAGGATACCATGGACTGCTAAGAAAACAAACAGATTCAGCCTGGAGAGGGTTAAACCCAGCTGCTCCTTGGAGGCAAGGATTCTGAGGCTTCGTCTGACATACTTTGGTCATGCTGTAAGGAGAGACAGGTCCTTGGAGAAGGATATCATGCTTCAGAAGGTGGAGGGCAGGCACAGGAGGGGTAGGCCTTCTAGGAGGTGGATTGATTTGGTGACTGGTGTAATCAGGATGGGTGTTTCAGAGACAGTGCGATTGGCACAGGACAGAGCAGAGTTTAGGGCTGTTGTACATAGGTTGCTATGAGTCACAAGCGACTCGACGGCACGTGATAAAATCTGCTTCCGAACCAGTTAATAAATCTGTTTTCTCTTCTCACATGTTACCTCCTCTCAGATTTGTGGAACACCTGTCTTGTATCCTTGTTCATCCTCCCTTCCATTGATAGGTAGTCTCCATGCCTCTTCCCGTCCTTGTTAATTTGTCTTAGAAATTATATAGTTTATCTTGAAATGGGGTCTGTAGAATTAATTTATTACTTCTCATAGTACAACCTAAAACCAAACCCATTGCCATGAAGCCAGACCTGACTCAAATTTACCCTCTATTGGTTTCTGAAGCTGTAAATCTTTACAAGAGATTTACCCTCTTTCTTCTTTGGAGGACCTGGTGGACTTGAACTATTGCATCTGATGTGATATCAGTACATAACCAGGATTTCTTCTCACGGCAATATAAATTCTGAATTTCTTTAAATGTAGCCAGCTTTACTTTAGCTTTTTGGTTTTGAAAGGGGTGCCTTTCATAATGCTGACTCATAATCCAGCCATAGTTCTTTCTGATATTGTCATTAAAGCATCCATTTTTCTTATTAAGAGTGAAAAACATAGCCTGGATTATGGCTAACCCTATCAACCATGACCAGTATTAAGGTACCAAAAGATAAAGTGTCTCAATGGCTTGCAAGTATACTCCCTAGTATTTTAGTAAAATTATTTTTTAAATAGTTATAAATCTAAAAGGAAAAATAAAGAGTGGTGACTGGCAGCTGTATATCAACATAGAAACACTTTTCATGTCAGGAAAGAAAGAAAGGAAAAAATCCCATTTCTAATATTTCACTATGAATTGAAGCTAACCATCAAGAAAACAAAGATTCTTACCACTAGGCCAATTGGCAGTATCATGATAGATGGTGAAGACAATGAGATTGTTAACAGTTGCAGTTTGCTTGGCTCCACAATCAACACTTTTTACCATCAGTCAGGAAATTAAAAGATTAATTGCATTGGGAATGTCTGCTGCCAGAGACCTCTCCAAAGTATTGAAGAGCCACACTGTCATTCTGGAGACTAAAATGTACCTGATACAGGCCATGGTCTTTGCAATTACTTGCTATGCATCAGAAAGCTGGACAATGACTAGGGATGATAGAAGGAGAATTGATGCCCTTGAGCTGTGGTGTTGGCAAAGAATATTACATATATCATGGACTGCTAGGAAAACAAATTCATCTTGGAGAAGGTGAAGCCAGGTTGTTCCTTGGAGGCAAGGATACTGAAGCTTCTTCATCTGACATACTTTAGCCATGTTGCAAGGCAGGGTCAGTCCTCGGAAAGGGATGCCATGCTTGGGAGGGTGGAGCAACAGCACAAGAGAGGAAGATCCTCGATGAGATAGATTGATTTAGTGACTGGGGTAATTAGGGTAGGTGTATCAGAGACAATAAAATTGGCACAGGATAAAGCAGGGTTTTGGGCTGTTGTACATAGCGTTGATGAGTCTCAGGCGACTCAATAAGAACAAACAACAACAATATGCAACCAGTATATAATTCAAAATTCCCAAGAATTGGGTTGGCTCTGGCTAACACAACAAATAAATAGCATTCTTTATCAGCCCTTGATCAATAGTCCATGGTGAAGAATATCATTGTACCATGGACAGCTAAAGAACAAATGCATCCGTATTTGAAGAAATGTATCCCAAACACTTCTTAGAGGTGAGGATGGTGAAATATTATCTCATGTACTTTGGGCGTGCTGTCAGAGTCAAATCCTGGAAAAAATGAAAGATCAGCAACAAAGAGGAAGATCTCAATGAGATGGATTTACATGGTTGCTACAACATTGTATTCAAACATAGTGATGATTGTGAAGATTACACAGAATCAGGATGGGTTCCTTCTGTTGTACATAAAGTCGCTATAAGTCAGAGAGGAGTTGTTGGCATCTCCTAACAATAATCATCCCTGTTCCTGTCTTTTTTACTAAAATAATTGTGGTTTATCAAGTCAATGGAGCTTCCAAAGGTTCTTGAAGTATTTGGCATATCGGGAAGGCCCTTTCTAGAAAAGATTAAAATCATCAGGGATGAGATCACCTCTAATAAGAAGATACACAATATTTAATAAATCAGATACTGATCTCTTGCCTAGAATTTACTTTATCTCTCTCATTTTATTATTTAAACTCACAACAATGAATTTTAAATTGCTGTATTCCTTATTTGAAGTCAAATGTGATCTTTTCTCAGAGAAGAAGGCAAGAAAGGATAAGAAGGAGGAAGCCAAAGAACTGGGGGGGGGGAACCCAATTAATCAATCTGCCCTAAGCACTATGTCCATTTTTATTTCAATTTAACATATGACTTTTACAAAGAAAAAGTGTCAAGAGGTTTTTAAAAAATATCATATGAATACAATTCTGCAGCCCTCGGGCCTGATTTTGATTGTTTTTGGTCAAACATTCTTCTAAGTGGTATGGCACTGCTCTGTTCTTTTTGCTGTACAGAGATAACTAGTGGTTGCTGTGATGCAACTGTGACACGGATGTGTCAAATGCGAGTGGTTACCCATGGTGGACAGTGTTTGGTGGAGCTCCCCTATAAAAACAAGCTTGGAAACAGGAGTGGCATCCACTCCTGAAATAGCTTGCCTCCTGAAACTCTATCAACGTGGAAAAACTATGGAAGTTATACAAGTGCTCAGGTCTTTTGTTCATAGGGTCACTATGAGTTGTCTATGACTCCACAGCACTTAACAAGAACAACAATTCAACAAATAAGAGTGAACAAAAGATGAAGCACAATCAACAAATATTAGTTCAACAGATATTGATATTGTCTCTACCCTCTGTACTCGGAAGGGAGCTAGGATGGCTTAGTGGTAAGCAGTTGTGCTTCCAACTCAAAGGCCCACAGATTGAATCCACTAGGTGTTCTGGAAAGAAAGGTGAGCAATCTCCTCCCATGTGACTTACAGCCTCTGAAAACCCACTGATGGGACTTCTCTGAGTTGGTTCTGACTTAACGGTACATGACAACAAAATGTGTACTCAGTGTGGGGCTACATTATTACTTGATCCAAGCTAATCCCATTGCTCTCAAGTCAATACTGACTTGTGGTAGCCCTCCAACACATATCCAAGGCTATCATTCTTAACAGAAAAAGATTGCTCATTATTAGTGTTGTTGTTGTATACCACTGAGGCAGATGATGCTTTAGAGGGTTTTCAGAAGCAGTTAATCACCCAAGAATAGCTTGCCTGCCTTTCTTCCACAATGCAGCTGGTCAATTTGAACCATATACATTTGCATTGGAAGTGTAATTCCTTAGGGCTTACACATTTTAATAAAATCATACAGTTTTCATTGAAGGTAAGACTTAATGCACTAACTCAATGACAACGAGTTAGTTTTGGCCTCATTTTAGAAGGTTTAACACTTACAAAAGATTTCTTTTATAGACCTAAGTGGTTAGAAGCACTAGGATTATTTTTATTTTTCAACTCAGGAAATTGACTTCCTTACAAAATGTATTTTAATACTAAAATGTATTAAATATGTATGATTAAAGTATTTAAGTATATATTCTGCATAATATGAAAGAAAAAATATCTTTTTAATGTATAAAATGCTTTGTAATTTTTTTATAGTGTTAGGAGGAAGTTAATTTCATTGAAAACAAACCAAAAGAAGGAAATGTCAAATGCAATGTGGTATCTGTTGAGACCACAGTGAAGATTATATGGAGAAAGAGCCAGCAGAGAAACAAACACAGGTCTGGCCACAAGAGGGCCACAGGAGAGGGACATAATGTCAATTTTTTACCACACACCAAGCCAGAAAATGCCAAAGCCGACTCTTTCCTTGCTAATTAACAAGAGTTTCTGGCAGTCAGAAGGTGAAGTTCTCTTAATAAAAATACCAACAAAAATGAGTACACTAACTTCAGTTCCACAGATGTTCTTTTGCATGAAATTCCATGTACATAAATCAGTAAAGTTTTCTCCTTCACTCTGGCACATCAACAGGCTTCAGTTTGTGAAAGCAATGTTATCTCCTAAAGGATAGTGCGCTGGTGTTCAGGCCCCTCACTAGTATACTAGAAGCAACTGACATTCAGCAAGAGTCTGGATGCAATGTCAAAGCCTCTGCTTCCACTTCTAGGTTTGTGGTTGGTACAGATGTGGGGACTGAGGAGGGGAAATAGAAATATTCTTCATGAGACTTGTAAATATTCAACAGGATCAATTAAATGAATATACTTCAGCCCATGTCATAGCCAAAATGTCTTCATTAGTAGTTCTCAAGAGAAAATCGATGGTTACAGGAAATAGAAAGAACACTGCATTTAATCCAAAATGCTCACCTGTTATTTTCACTTGGAATGACTCCCCAGAGATCCAAGCCATCTCTGGTTAAGGTGCCTGTCTAAACAGAAACAAATATTTGGTTTATTCTGATGATCCCAAGGCCTCTGAGTGAAGACAAGTAGTCTTTTAATAGGAAAATAAATGTCACACATATTATTAGGAGAATACTTCAAGGACAATAAGGTGCATATTTGAGTTCCAGCCCATAATAGCACTTAACCTCTTTGCATCTCAGTGTACTTCATGGTAAAAGCAAGAAAACAGTATCAAAGGGATGTTTTGAGTATCTAAAATCCTTGGTAGTCTCATAAAACCATTGAGTCCAGCTTTTAGAACAGAATTAAATGTATGTCACTGGAAATAAGTAAAAGATGAGTTTTTACCTACAGGGCACTGTTCTTGAAAAGCAAATGCCTTGGCATTTGACATCTACCTGGGAAAGAGCATGCTTGCTCTCTCTTATCACACTGCAGTATAATAATTAAGAGCTTGGGTCTAGAGATAGGACCAGATTCAACCACCTGCTGGGCGACCTGGGCAAATTGCTTAATCCTTGTCAGCCTCAGAGCTCTTATCTGTAATGTGGTCATAAATGCAGAGGGTTAGAAAGGTGAAATGCGAATGATAGGAATCAAGGCCTTAATTTGGTGTCTGCGATATAGTAAGAGTTAATAATGTTAATGCTCACAATTATTACTCATTTTTCATTCACATTCTTATCAGAATGATCTATCTAACTCTTGCTTCTTTTTTTCTAAGCATAAGGATGATGTGGTCCCACAAGTAGAATGTCTCCCCCTAGGATATAATAAGTGTGATCACAAAATGATACTGTAGTGTTGGCAGAAATCATGTTAACTTTTTGCACAGGTTGTAACTCTGCAATATCTCAGCAATTATAAAATATATATCTGATCCTATTACCTTTCTGCTACCAAAAGCTGTTAATGACTCTCTACTGCTGAGTGGCAAGTATAAATTCCTTAGCTGTTCGCTGTCCACAAATACCATCTCCCATAACTAATGTCCTGCAAAGTCAAAACCACACACTCAGTTTCTACCCTATTTCCTTAGCCCTTGCTCACCTGCCCACAGTCCCTTTTTTCTATCTTCCCTCTTTACAAAATCCCCAGTGTGTGTGTTCATACTCAAAACAAACTCAAGAAAAGGTAAAATGAGAGGCTGGAGAGAGTAGTTTTATGTCATCAAGAGTGATCTGAATCAATACAGGGAAAATACAGTAAGGGTTTGATTGAAGATTTATTACAAACCCAATCTCAGAGAAAGGCACAGTTAAATGAACATTTATTTTATTCCCTAATGTAGCTGTTTGGTGCTAATGCACATATTCTTAGAGCAACGCTGTATGACAGAGCATAACAGTGCCATAGGATTTTCTTGACTGTAATCTTCATGGAAGTAGATCATTAGATCTCTCTACTACAAAGTTGCTGAATACATTCAAAGTGCCAGTCTTCCCATTGGAAGCTGCTCATTGCAGCTGAACGCTTAACTTTTGTGCCTCCAGTGATCCTCATCTATTAAAGCAATATTTATTGAACACTGACTAGATATTGGGCAATATTTACAGCATTATTATGGCTGCCACAGAGATCATGATAAGGGCTTTTGTTTTTTATTTTGTTCTCTTTCTATTATTATTCATTTTCATGAACTTTTACAGAGATTTTGCGTCTCCATTCATTCATTGTTGAATTTTTCTCCCTGCTCATCCCTCCCCCACAGTTCTCTCTTCTCTTTGAAAAGTGAAAGAAAAATTCTTTCATTGGTATACAATCCACCCTACCCCCCCGCCCCTAGTATATTCCACTTTGCAGCCTTCACTCTGGACTCTTGTCATAACCATAATGCCCAATTATATATCTCTTTTAAGCAGTTCTTACCCTCATCTGTTTCAATGCAGTATACATAATTTATCCAGTTTTTCTCAGTCTCACCCCAACCCTGATGTTGGTCCCATTCTAAAACAGTGCTACTATGCAGTATTTGTCTTTTTGTGACTGCGATATTTCACTCAGCATAATGTCCTCCAGAGTCACCCATTTTGAATAATATTGCATGAGTTCCTTGTGTTTCAATGCAGTGTAGTATTGCACTGTGTGAATATACCCCAGCTTCTCTATCCATTCGTTTGTTGATGGGCACTTGGGTTATTTCCAGCTCTTTGCTATTGTAAACAAAGCTATGATAAACGTGGGTGTGCATATATCTGCCTGGGTGGCAGTTATGGTTTCTTTAGGGTGATAAGGGCTTTTAAAAAATTCTTTTTATGACAGTTTTGACCAAAAGGGATAGTTAAGTGCCACCAAGTCCAGTATAGCTCATAGGGATCCTAGGAACAATGGGTCTGAACCCTACCCTATACTGCGTGATCCTCCTTATCTCTGACACACTGAGTCCACCATCACCATCACTGTGTCAATCCATCTCCTTGAGGGTCTTCCTCTCCTTCACTGACCCTGTACCTTTCCAAGCATGATAGGTTGCTATTTTTAATCAGTTGCTTTTCATAGAATATCAAAACTGGAAGCACCTTAAAAGAGTCCCTTATTTAAAACCTAGTTCCCCTCATCTAAACCCTTGAATCTAGAATTTAAAATGCATCTTTCCCAGATCTCACCTCCAAACAGAGATAAAGAGAAGTTGTACAAAGGTACCAACAGCCTGTGTTCTCTGTCTGGCCAAAGAGCAAAGGCACTTACACATGATAACAGTAGTGATAACAGAGGTGATGGTTATGAGGTTAGAACACACATACCTTGTCAAAGCAGACAAGGTTTAATTGTCCACATACATTAATCCTCTGGGGACTAATGCAAAAGATGCCCTTCTTCTGCAGTCTTCTCTGGGCATAGATAATGCCTGTGGTCAGGGCGGCAGGGAGAGCAGGTGGGACAGCGATGGTGATGACATCAAGGGCTTTCTTCACTACCTCCTCAGGCGATTCCTGGAAGGTGAAATGGTCCCTCAGCTACCACAGGTAAATCAGTAGTGAATTGCTTTCTGCATAGGACTATTTATTTATTTATTTACTTTTTTTCTGTTGATTCCTTCAGTCAAATTCCTAGAAATGCTATCAATGGGCCAAAGGTTAGTCACATACTTATGGCTCTCAGACTATTTTGCCAAAGCATAATGAACAAAATTACAACAATTTATCCTGCTACCAGTAGTGAGTTGGTACGACTTTTTGCTACTTCACCGATACTATTTGGGTTATATCTTAAATTCCTCATTTAGTATCTATAAAATATTGAAACAAATATACTGTCATTGTGCAAATGGCAAATAAGTGTGAGGAAAGGTTTGAGGAAAAGTGTTCAAGAATAGATATATACTGATACTTTACTAGATCTGATCACTATTATGGAACTTTGTGATTATTACATTGGGAGATTGAAAGCATGTCAGCAAGTTTCACTGTTTAGCTTTATTTATAATGTTCAAAGACCTAGTTTCAGATCAATAGGCAGAGTATATAATATGTAATGATGCGTGCATGTCCACATGTGTTAAAATAGAAGAGGTCAGCTTACCCCACTGAGCACATAGACGCACAGGGTATAGATCATCCCAATGGTGGCTGTCCCCACGAGGCACAGAAGGAACCTGATGGCATCCCTATAGAGCTTAAAATTCATCGGCTTGGGGTAGAGAATGGATCTCACTAAGTCCCCTTTGGCGGTGTTAAAGCCTGCAACAGCAAACACAAACCCCGCTATCAGGATAACAAAAACTATTGTTAGTGCTTTTCTAATCTTTAGCCAGTATCATCTTTGCTTTCCTCTACAGACGCAAAACCAGTGTTTAAACCCAAAGACAACTGAAGAATAATTTAGAAAATACATTTTTACTGAAACAGAAGGACCTTACCTCTCTCAGCCTATTGTCCTTCAAATTCTCTCCCTCTACTTCCATTTTCACTGCATCCCAGAGATAGGAAACCATGATTTGGGTTCAGAGCACAGCTTTCCCAAATATTACTTATTTTTTAAAAATATAATTCATGAGTATACACACAAAGCCAGTTTAATGTCAATTAAATGGCCCAGTAAGTACTGACCAAATCAGTTTTTCACATTAAATTTTAGCTACTAGCCCTCAAATCTACTAGCATCTCCATGAGAGAAACATAGGTAATCTTCTCCCATGCAATTTACTGACTCTAAAAACCGAGTGCAGGGTCAGCTATGGGTCAGTTCCAACTTACTGGTACATAACAACAACCACTACAACAACTCTGCCCAGGAAGATCAGAGAACTTGGAATCAGAACACTAGAGTTCTATATCCATCTATCAATCACTGGTTTTTAAAAGCTCACTTGAATTTTATGAACTTCACTGCATTCATATGCAAAGTAATGACAATAAACATCTTTGCTCTACTGGTTTTCTTCATGGGCAAAGTTTGTAAACAACAAAACAACATAAATAGTGATCAGTATTGTGAAGATATATTATAAACATATAATATATGAATATATTATGTTATTGTTGTTAAGTGCCACTGAGTCAAGCACTATCGTGAATATATATTATAAATATATATTAATATGTTGTTGTTGTTAAATGCCACTGAGTCGAGCACGACTCATAGCAACCCTGTGACCAAAAGATGTGAACTCTGTTCTCTAACTATCATCATTTCTCTAATGTTCATAGAATTTCCAAAGGCATGTTGTTCAGGAACTAGATGCCAATTCTGCTTCCAATCTGATCTTAATCTTGGAGCTCCACTAAGCATTGTCTATCATGAGTAACCATTATGGTATGTGTTACAGCTTTCAGCATCACAGCAATCCCAAGTCACAGCAAACTGACAGACAAGTGCTATACTACTTAGAAGAATGTTCTTCACAAACACAATTACCACTTACCCTCCAAAATCCCACAGCTTCACACATGATCCTCCAAGCTGAAGACTTAGTCTGGGCCTAACCGACTTTTAAATACAAAGGCCCACCCACTAGGTCCTGATTGATTTAAACAAGAGGCTTCCAGCCCACAGCTAATTTTTAGCTAAATCCAGTAAATTCAATCATCTCACACATGATTGTGAATGAAATAAAAAACAATCAAACATATATTATAAATATATAATAGTTCAAGGGAGCACAGGTGGCGTAGTGGTAAGAAGCTGTGCTGCAGTCTCAAAGGCAAGTGGTTCAAGACCACCAGCTGCTCTGCAAGAGAAGGATGGGGAATCTCCCATGTAATTAAGTGCCTCTGAAAGAAAACCTGCCAGAGAGTCAGCTGTTAGTGTTTACTCCATGGTATAAAACAACAACAACATTCAATTCTTTTATAATGTATTACACATCATATATACTATGAAAAGAGTATGTGAGTATGTGTGTGTGTGTGTGTGTGTGTGTGTGTAGTACACGGCTGTTGAATGCAAACTGACTCACAACTGACCATCCAGGTTTTCAGAGGCTGTAAATTACACAGGTAGAGACTGGCCATTTTTCTCCCTAAAGATAGCTAGTAGATTTGAACTGTCACCCTTTGGGTTGGAAGCAACTATCTTTAATCAGTAGGAATTCCCAGTCACTATTTGGGAGAAAAAAAGACAATCCTCACTCACGGTATCTATTACTTTCAAAAACCCACTGGAGGAACCCACTGGAGGTTCAGCTTGAGTTGGTTCCAATTTGACTTTTTTGAGTGAGTGGGTGAGTGAGTGATCTATGAACATACAACAGCATATCTATACATAATACGCGAGGGAGCTCTGGTGGCTTAGTGGTAAGACGTTGCACTGCCAATCCTAAGGCTTTTGGTTTCAATTCACCAACTGCTCTTCTTGAGTGGGATGGGCAGTGTCCTCCTGTGCATATTACTGCCTCTGAAAACCCTGGAAGATCAACTGTGAGTCGATTCTGACTTGATGGTAGATAACAATAACTGGAGGTCTACAAGGTAGGGAAGTCGTGCTGCGAACCCAAAGGTGGTGCATCTCGGGCAGTGAGAACCCAGCTGTCTCCTAAGGGCAGAGATGGGCACTCTCCTCCTGTAAGATTGACAGCCTCCCAAACCCAACGGAGGGTCAGCTATGAGTCAGCTCCGACTCAATGCCAATGAGCGTTGAGATGAGGAAACAATACACACATACATTTGGTTTGTTATGTAAGAATAAATCACATACATTCACTTCTTATCTAATGAATTAAAGACTCCAACTAGTTCTTTAAAAACAGAAACAGGAAGTAGAACACACTAACCGGTCTGCAGCACCACGGCACTCACAGCCCCCGCACAGGCTCCTTTGGCCTGGATCACTTCCGTTCCACAGAATAGGACATGCCGTTTATAATCTGCTTCACTCTGCACTTTCCAGGGCAGCAAGCTCTCCATCTTGGGTAACGGCATTTTGGTGACTGGGATACTTTCTCCTGCAGAAAGCAAGCATTTCACTTTTCTCTCTCTTTTTATTTGTTTGTAATTGAAGAATTTTCTTTTTTTATTACATAATTTTATTGGTTTGCAAATAGTCATTCACAGACACTGTGTTTCATGCATATGCGCTGTGTTTCACACAATATTAAATGATGCCATTTTTCACAAATCACACAACAGTTATTGTCAGCCTACTAGATGACAGGGGTAACCAATCTAAGCACTGGAACTGGAGGTAAAACACAGTCCTGGAGCAGTTTCAGAATTCAGAGTGGGAGATAGAGAAGTAGATATATGAGTGTTACAAAATCAGCATGGATACCAAAAGAAGCTGGATATAATTTTTCTTGGATTACCAAACTATTTGGTCTAGAATGTAGGATGTGAGGAATAAAGGATCCATGAAAACTATGTAGAAACCAAAGCATGAGATGTACTGATGCACATTTTTCCCCTAGAAACACTGGTTAAAACATAGGGGCAATGTTACCCGTTTTAATCAGGCAAATAATATCTTTAAAGGTAAATATATTTGTTGACTAATGGTATGAATCTGTGCTGCAATCCTGAAGCCTCACAGTTCAAATATGCTAATTTTTCCATGGGAGAAAAGATGGGCAATCTGTCCCTGTGCAAATTACTGCCTTTGAAAACTTGCTGGAGGGTCAACTATGGGTCAGTTCCAACTCGATGGTATATTTACAATAAGTACACTCTATCTAAAATACAAGGAAAAGACTGTGTGGAGTCTGGTGGTGTGAGAGATTGGACTCCCAGTGGAAAACCTACAGCAATACTGTGAGTCGGAGTGGAGAGTATCTGAGCTTAAGCCCCTGGCACTGTAAATAGAAATGCAGAATTGCTAGATTGAGCGGTAGATTGAGAAATAAGGACCTAAGAAGCTACAAAACTTGAAAAGATAGAGGAATTTTTAGCTACTGGTTTTTTTACTTAGGAGAATGGGATGGGGGGAGGGGACTTACCTATAGGAAGCCAAACTTTATACCAAATATTATATGAAAACCCTTGTTCAGGAATTGAAGGAGTTACAGATTTATAGGCTGGAATTTCTCTGTGGCAGATCACAGAAAATGAGCTGTTTGTTCCCTGCAGACAGGAGACAGCTAGGGGCCCCCTACAGAGGGAGTGTTACTTCCTGAGCTAGAGTTCACCCTAAGGCATCAAGGCAATCCTTGAGAGTATACCAAATTCTTGAAGCATTTGCCAACCCCTCCCTCCTGAGTCAAAGGGAAGGTTTTCAATAGAAAGAGCTTGGCTTCATTTGCATTGAATTCTCTTTGTGATTTACTTCCAGTTAATTTTCAATAAAGATACAGAGAAGCTTGGCTTGGGGTCTTCAGTTGAGAACTGCTGGCCCACTGTTTTATGCTCCCTGCTCTATCTCATTCCTGGCTGTATGTCTTATTATTAATACTTGTAAAATTACTTTACCCTCGGTCTGAAACACTTATCCATCCGTGAAGGGATTATAGGACACAAGAAAGAATTCATTTTGGACAAAGTAAGTTGAAGGTAACTAGTATAATGATCGTATTGAGAGTATTTGTCAGCAGTTAGATATTTATTTGGTTTTAGAGCTTAGAGGAGAGTCTTTAGCTAGAGCTACCTCATTAGAATCCAACAGGCAAATTGGCTTAGGAACCACGTAAATGGTAAGAAAAAGAAAGATAAGGATATATCCCTATTCAGCACCAATAATGAAGAGAGAGGGGCAACAGATGACTATCATATGGTCACTGGTCAGTGCTGGAACTTTTAGAGAGAAAGAACAGAGTTTTAGAAAGCTGGAAAGTTACGGTGGAGCAGTTTTTAGGAGGAAGAGGTATTCAGTAAAGTCAAATGCAGCAGATGAGAAATGCTTCATTTGGCAGGTGAGTTTTCAGGCTTTCTGTAGTATGGTTGGTTGGGGAGGGAGGTGGCAGTGAGCTGAAGGACTATTAAAGGGTGATGAGTGAAGTGCAAAAAGTAACCGAAGTCTGTTCTGAGGGACAAAGCCTCCGAAGTCTCCCACTGGTCTTGGCACAGTGAACAGAATAAACTAAGAGATGTGCTCTCCAGTCCTAAGGCAACTTTCTCTAAGAAAATGGTACTGGCAGTTTGAAAAGTTCTAGCATTCTGAGATTTTTATGAATCTATCTATGGATTCCTAAGGAAAAGGTGACTGTCCAACTATGTCTTCCCCTCCACCTTGTTTTTTAAAAAATTCACAGAGGAAGGAGGTGTATGTATGTGTGTGATTATCTCTTGATTTTTCTGGTTTACCCACGAGAAATGAATTACTATTGAACTTTAATAGGAATTACAGTATATTGAGTATAAAGTAAAGATAGAAAGATCATGAAGACGGTACAGGATAGTGCAAGCTTTAAGTCCATTGTTCATAGGGTGCTGTGAGTCATAGGCAATTCAACAACAGCTAACAACAACTGAGCACATCATGGAGACTTAGTGGCACAGAGTATGATGTACTCAGCTTCTATCTGAAAAGTCAGAAGTTTGAATCCACCAGCTATTCCACAGGAAATATAAAGATGAGCAGTCTCCTCTCCAAAAGATTTAGTCTCTGAAACTAGTGAGAAAAGATGGAGGTTGTTAACAATTTCAGCTTGCCTGGCTCCACAGTCAACACTCTTGGCACCAACAGTCAGGAAATCAAAAGATGAATTGCATTGGGGAGGTCTGCTGTCAGGGACTTCTCCAAAATTCTAAAGAGCAATGATATCAGTCTAGAGACTAAGGTGTACCTGATTCAGGCCAGGGTACAATTACTTGCTATGCATCAGAGAGCTGAACAATAAGTAAGAATGACAGAAGAATTGATGCCTTTGAGTTATAGTGCTGCAAAAGAGTATTGAACATACAACATACCACCAGGAGAACAAATGGGTCTCTTTTGGATAGGATGAAACCAAGTTTATCCTGGGAAGTATGGCTTAGAAGCTCCATCTCACATACTTTGTGCATGTGGCCATGAAGAAACAGTCCTTTGAGAGGGACATCATGCTCAGAAAGGTAGAAGGACAGCACAGAAGAGGAAGACCCAAATGAGATGGATTGAAGCAGTAACTGGGGCAATGGGGATAGGTGTGTCGGAGTCAGTGAGACTGGCTCAGGACAGGAGTCATGGGCAAATCAATGGCACATAATAGCAACAAAACCAGTGAAGGGTCACTGAGTGAGAAATGACACAGTAGCAAAGAGTTTGGTTTGGTGTGGTTTATGATGCATAAATATATACTTAAAGCCTCTCATTTTGTTACTGAAAAAGGCTTCATATTCTTCCTTATCTTACAGATATATTGGCACAGTATTTGGCCATTAGGAGTATGTAAGTGAAAATCAAAGAACATATTGACGTTGATCAAGTCATTTTCCCTCTTTGGAATTCAATTTCCATATTTGTGAGATGAGAGAACTTCCAAAGTCCCTCCTAGCTGTTGCAATGCTATTCAGCAATGCAATGCAACTAGGCCAAAACACTGAGTGAGAATTCTGAAGGTAGCAGATTTGTCAAACAGGAATGATGAACAATTTAATACTTGAGCACCACAACAAGATAAAGGTAAAGAATCCAATAGAAAAATGGGCACAGGATATGAACAGGCACTTCACCGAAGACGACATTCAGATGGC